TTGATAAACATGTGGATTGAGTCAACATTATTATAAGTTAAATAATCTCATAATTATATAGTTATTACAATTGCTTTCCTAACATAAGGGAGAGACTATCACAAAAAAAGCTAGACTAATCGACAGGGTGCAAAATATAGAAATTTAAGGTTCTAAATTTAGAAACAGTGTTTACTACATTTGTAGTAAATTAACGGTATGACAGTTTTTATGAATGGGATAAATCCCACGGGAAGCATGATTATTAGCGGGAACATATTTATTACTAAACTTTCATTGGCTACAAGTCCTGTCGTGTGAACAAGGACAGTGTTACAAATCTACATGTATTTATATTTATTTAATCGGAATATCTTTCACTGGTGAGTTTTTGTTTTATTTTATTTTTCTATCAATTACAAACTACTGAGTATTTGTTACTTTTAATATGTATGATATTAACCTACAAAGACCTTTTAGTGCGACTTCATTATTTGAGTTCAGTAATTGACTATATTTGATGATATTTGGTCTGGAATAGAAATATGAATCTATATTATTTTCCCTCGATTGTTTAAAACGTTTGCATACGAGGAGAGTATGGAATTCGTCACCTAAATCAGAAAAACAATTTAGACATTGCCTATCATTATAATTGACATAGCTATTCCTCCAACGGCCAGTTTCGATGGGAAGTTTATGATTTGCTGTTCTAAATTTCAATAGTTTCAGACCTTGGTTCATTGGTAAAATATTAAGATATTTTTCAAATGTTAGTTCCGTTTTGAAAAGGGCATAATTTTTTCCCTTTGATGAGTTCTGCAGTTCTGACGACCACTTTTGAAAATATTGATTTAATAATGTTTCTTTAATAATTTTTGCTATGCTATTGCTAGTAATAGTTCTCTGTTGCAGCCACAAGTATGAGTAACCTGTCTCGTTAAAAATAGTGTAAACATGTTTCATCCATTTAAAGGACTTAAAATCATCTGCGTATAACATTGCTTCGTAGCATAACGATGATATTTTATTATCTTTTTGCGTAATAAGTTTATTCCAAAATGTGATCATTCTCGATTTAATTGTTATTTCTATAGGATAGCGACCTAATTCGCCGTAAAGCATATATAATGGGGTACTTTTCCTAGTTTTTTAAGTTATTTTTCGTAAAAAATTAGAGTGTATGCGTTCCAAAGTGTTTAAATTTTCAAAGCCAAATATTTCGCAACCGTACGTTAAAATTGGTAGTATAGTGCTGTCAAATAATTTCAATTGAAGGTCAATAGGTATGTCTAGATTGTTTATTCTTTGTAATAATAGATGCATTGCCCTTGTTTGCTTGATTCGGCAAATATGTACACGTGCAGTAGCGAAAACTGCCATTACTGGAAAAATACAATCCGAGATATTTATAGCTTTTAACGATTTCTAGTTCATTATTTCCAATGTGAAATGAATACGTTTGTATTTTTCTGCTTCCGAATATCATTACTTTTGTTTTTTCGGTGTTAATATCTAACTTCCAAAGTTTACAATAGTCATTAAAATCATCTAAGCATTTTTTTGTAGGGAAATTTTGTCGTTTGCGAAAAAACAGTATCGTCTGCATATAGAAGGACCAAAATCTAAAAATAAAATTGTACCTACCCTGTAGAATATCACTTTTTACCCTCATTGCCTTTCGATATTAAAAAAAAATTGTTCTAATCATTAAGATAAATACTTGAAAATCAGGGGAGAAAAATGGTCTCCCTGACGAACGCCCTTTTCGCAGGCAAAAAAAAACAGAGTTATCGTTATTTACTGAGACACACGACTTGATGTGTTTATACATGTTAAGATAATCCTAAAAAACTTTCCATTTTATTTCATTTTGTATTAATTTTTTCCAAAGTCCTACTCGCCAAAGAGAATCAAACGCTTTTGAGAAATCAACATACGTAACAAAAAGTTTACTTTTACTTTTTTTTCATTATTTCTAAAAAGATAATATAAAGAAAACATATGATCAGTTGTACTATATTTTGACACTGAAGCCTGCTTGATTTTCGTTTAAGATAAAATGCTCATCAACGTATCGTGTTAGCCTATCGTTAAGAATTGCACTGAAAACTTTTCCTAAGCAACTTAACAGTGTTATGGGGCGATAATTCGAAGGATCGGACTTACTACCTTTATTTTTAAAAAATGGTTTGATGGTCCCTTGAAGCCATTTATCCGGGAGTATACCTGTGTCGAGAATTTTATTAAATAGCTGGACATAAATGGGCGACATTAATTCTTTAGTGCTTTTAAGGTACTCATTAATAATAAGGTCATCTGCCGGCGATTTCCCGTTATTTGTCCTAGATATCATTTTTTTCGATTTCTTCCTTAGTTATTCGAGAGTTTAAGATTTCGTCGTCGTCGGGTAGTGAAAATCAGATGGTAAGTCATTTGACTGATCGTCTTCATTTGATGAGTTTATGTTTTTTGAAAAAGTCGTATAGATCAGATAAAGGGGGGTATTTATTCTTATTCTTAGGCTAATACCTGTTTAATATCTTCCAGTAGTCTTTAGGGTGTTTAGAATGCAAGTCTCTTAGTTTTTTCTCGTTTTCATTTTTATTTTTCTGTATAAATCGATTCATCGTTTTCTTATAATGTTTACTTGATTCATTAAGGTTAATTTTATTCAATGTTGTTTTATTACCATTATACTTTTTGCGCGCTTGATTATATTTTAAACGTGCATTCCTACATATCGGTCCAAACCATGGTTGGCTGGGTTTAATTTTCTGGGGTCTGGGGGGTGTAGAATCTTTCTTATTGTGATGATAAGTTGGATTGTTTTTGCTAAAAGTCTTATCCGCAGCAGACTGGAACATTTCTGTTATTTTACTAGATGCTAAATTTAAATTTTGGCCGGCATTTTCGGATGTACAGTTTTCTAAAATTTCCTTAATATCGGATATATCGCGTGGATTAATGTTAGTTACAAATTGATCTCTTTTATTTTCCTGCCATTTTGTACGTTTATAGTTACGAGCGCTGTCATACTCAATCGGTACACCTTTTATAATATTAATCTTAGTTGACAATAAAGAGTGTCCATCCGAAAATAGGCTGTCCAAATCAATAATTTCAAAATCTTGTATGTATGCCAAAAGTTCTACACTTGAAATGTTATAGTCAATAACCGAAGTTTCTCTAAATGTATATTTACCTAAATTTGCGTCTTTCCCTATTCTGCCATTACAAATAAATAGGTTATTGTTAATACACATATCAAGTAACTTGTAGCCAATCTGGTTTTTCTTATTATCTTTGGATTTTCTATTTAATGGTATATCTAGCTCAAATAATTTATTATATGCATCAAAAAATTTTTAGTAATTCCGAATCAAAATCAAAATAGTCGGCAAGAAAATTATCTGTTTCAAGAAATCTGGCAAGCATGCCGTGTGGGCGTTCGTATCACCAGTCAAAAATACATAGGGATACTTGCTACAAAATTCAACAATTTCTTGTTCCATAAGCGAGAATAAATCATTACTAAAAAATCGTGATTGTTCGGGTGGTACATAAATTATAGCCAATATTAAATCGTTATCAATCGATAATGCTGATTTACTAATTTTTACCCATAAAACATATTCACAATTTGTTTTTAAAATTTCTACATAGTTTATAAAGTCAGTATGCACAAAAACACCAATTCCGCCGGATTTCCGTAAATGTGACTGTTCTCTAGGTTTTTGAAATGAATTCATAGTTTGGGTATAGAAATAATATCAGTAGTGACTAATTTTGTTTCTGTTACACAGAAAAAATCAAACATGTTAATCAAATCAATTACCTCTGTGTATCTTATCCGGGATTTCAATCCACATACATTTAAAGTTCCTATTTTAAGAGCTCTATCTGAACTAGTATTAATGTTCACTTTATACGAATTTGATTAGTGTTCACTGAACCATTCCATGGTTGTTTCCCCCTATTGTACTAATTGTCACTGTCGGAGTCCGATCCGCTAAAACGTAACGTAATTGGGTTGATTAGGTAACAACCCATCTTTTGATGCTGGGTTGTGATGTTTGTCCACTGTAGACGATTTGCTGCTGAAGTTTTCCCCGAGTGTTTTGAAGAACGACGGGGTTCGATCTCCGCATCGTGCGATGACATGGGTGAAATGCTACTGCGTGATCGACACGGTACGGTTGCGTCGATATTTTGCTGAGATGTGGTCTGCGCTGGTTCGATTCGATTATTTCGACATTTGAAGTGTTAATGTTGTTCGTGGTGTATTTGTTGCTTGATAAGTAGGTTTCATATGGCCGGACCAGAATTCGGTATATTTTTCTATATTGGCCTTAAGTGAGAGAGACACCTGCTCCTGGACGTTCTCATGTCGCGATCCTCTTAATACCGGGTACCAGTCAGGGAATTTATTCATGTGTTATGGACCCTTTCACTTCGATTGCCGCCGGGAATTTGAACTTGACATTTTTAACACCGTGAGTTTCCCTCGCCCTTTTATAAAGCGGCCAAAGTTCTTTCCTTGCCTCGGATATTTCTGCAGGGTAATCTCTGTTAATACTGATATTCGGTTTTGTACCTTTGGAGATTTGGGGCTTTTTCAATAACCAATTCGACGTCGTGCGGGTCAGCAAAACGTGACGACAATTTGCCTTGGTATTTCGCGGCCCTGTATATATTTGGCGTCTGCCAACTCGAAACGCGCGTCTGATAACTACCTCATCCGTGTCTAGGTACAGTTTCTCTCGTAACAATTGTCTAATCTTAATGACACAATTTTCATCATGATTTTCGTGAATACCCGCGAAAACTAGGTTACTGGATCTCACACGCACCTCATGTTCAATAGATTTATATTCAAGTAACCGTAACCGGTTATCTACAATGTCCAACCTGGCCGTATTCATATACATGTGCGATTCAACACCGTCCACTCTCATTTTCAATGGTGCACTATATATTCATGAAGAACAACAATCTGGATAAAGTGTGATCAATCATAATTAAATTATGTAATAGGGGTGGTTCGGCGCAATATAAATATAATTATCCGAGCCCCTAAGGGTCAAATGAGTTCGGGATTGTTAAAATCAAATCAACAAACAGCTGTAAAGTTCTATCCTGTTTATATACTGATCACATCAAACAAGTAGATTCTGTAGGTACAAACCAACAACACTCTGAAATAAGTATATAACAATATGTAAATATAAAGTAAAATAAAGTAGAAACAATGCATTAATTATTATCATATCTTACATAATCAATTACATGTCTAGTGGCCAATTCAGTTCTTTAAACTCAGCAACAGTCCTTAAATCTAATATCATAGCTTATGGAATTATACACACAATTAACATATTTTATCTTTTAAACAATACACAATACATCACACATGTAACTTACCATCTGAGGGATGAGTGTAGTACATCAATCTATAACCTAATACCTTCTCTTACTTTCACACCAGTGACTGTTAACTGCAGGTTAAATATTAATAGTGAATAAAAGATGAAAAGGTTGATTTGATAGATACATGTCATTTTGAAAACTCATACTTATTTACAAATTTCACAATCAATGGACTGATCCAAAATTTACAACAGAATCACAAAATGCAATTCTACATATTTACAATAAAGCATTAAGCAGCAGTCAGGATAAATACATACCAACTTAGGAAATAAAGAACTTGACCACAAACACTAATTTTTCTAACCTCTCCTTTACAACATAACAAAGACACAATGACTTTTCCCACCAAGAAATCACAAGATGTGTGAAGTTGGCGGCCTGGCGGCCTGGCGGCGTGAAGTTGGCGGCCCAGCGGCCTGGCGGCGTGAAGTTGGCGGCCCAGCGGCCTGGCGGCCTAGCAGCCAAAAATTTTAATGTTCTAGAAATGTTTTTTTAACAATAAAACGGCATTTAATGAAGTTTTAAAGATAATTATTCTTATTTAAACGACATATCTAAAGAAAAAATGACTTTCAGAGATTTTTTTTAATTTTGTCATTTTTTGTGAAGTTGGCGGCCCAGCGGCCTGGCGGCTAGCAGCCAAAAATTTTAATGTTGTAAAATGTTTTTTTTTAACAATAAAACGGCATTTAATGAAGTTTTTAAAGATAATTATTGTTATTTAAACGATATATCTAAAGAAAAAATCATTTCAGAGATTTTTTTAAGTTTGTCATTTTTGTGCCTGGCGGCCTAGCAGCCAAAAATTTTAATGTTGTAAAAATGTTTTTTTAACAATAAAACGGCATTTAATGAAGTTTTAAAGATAATTATTCTTATTTAAACGATATATCTAAAGAAAAAATCACTTTCAGAGATTTTTTTAATTTTGTCATTTTTGTGAAGTTGGCGGCCCAGCGGCCTGGCGGCCTAGCAGCCAAAAATTTTAATGTTGTAAAAATGTTTTTTTAACAATAAAACGGCATTTAATGAAGTTTTAAAGATAATTATTGTTATTTAAACGATATATCTAAAGAAAAAATGACTTTCAGAGATTTTTTTAAGTTTGTCATTTTTGTGAAGTTGGCGGCCCAGCGGCCTGGCGGCCTAGCAGCCAAAAATTTTAATGTTGTAAAAATGTTTTTTTAACAATAAAACGGCATTTAATGAAGTTTTAAAGATAATTATTGTTATTTAAACGATATATCTAAAGAAAAAATCACTTTCAGAGATTTTTTTAATTTTGTCATTTTTGTGAAGTTGGCGGCCCAGCGGCCTGGCGGCCTAGCAGCCAAAAATTTTAATGTTGTAAAAATGTTTTTTTAACAATAAAACGGCATTTAATGAAGTTTTAAAGATAATTATTGTTATTTAAACGATATATCTAAAGAAAAAATGACTTTCAGAGATTTTTTTAAGTTTGTCATTTTTGTGAAGTTGGCGGCCCAGCGGCCTGGCGGCCTAGCAGCCAAAAATTTTAATGTTGTAAAAATGTTTTTTTAACAATAAAACGGCATTTAATGAAGTTTTAAAGATAATTATTGTTATTTAAACGATATATCTAAAAAAAAATCACTTTCAGAGATTTTTTTAAGTTTGTCATTTTTGTGAAGTTGGCGGCCCAGCGGCCTGGCGGCCTAGCAGCCAAAAATTTTAATGTTGTAAAAATGTTTTTTTAACAATAAAACGGCTTTTAATGAAGTTTTAAAGATAATTATTGTTATTTAAACGATATATCTAAAGAAAAAATCACTTTCAGAGATTTTTTTAAGTTTGTCATTTTTGTGAAGTTGGCGGCCCAGCGGCCTGGCGGCCTAGCAGCCAAAAATTTTAATGTTGTAAAAATGTTTTTTTAACAATAAAACGGCACTTAATGAAGTTTTAAAGATAATTATTGTTATTTAAACGATATATCTAAAGAAAAAATCACTTTCAGAGATTTTTTTAATTTTGTCATTTTTGTGAAGTTGGCGGCCCAGCGGCCTGGCGGCCTAGCAGCCAAAAATTTTAATGTTGTAAAAATGTTTTTTTTAACAATAAAACGGCATTTAATGAAGTTTTAAAGATAATTATTGTTATTTAAACGATATATCTAAAGAAAAAATCACTTTCAGAGATTTTTTTAATTTTGTCATTTTTGTGAAGTTGGCGGCCCAGCGGCCTGGCGGCCTAGCAGCCAAAAATTTTAAAGTTGTAAAAATGTTTTTTTAACAATAAAACGGCAATTAATGAAGTTTTAAAGATAATTATTGTTATTTAAACGATATATCTAAAGAAAAAATGAATGGAACCAAAGTAGCAATATATGAGTTGGTTATACAAATTATTCAATATATGGAACCAAAGTAGCAATGTATGAAACCAGGTGTCCTTCTATGAAACCAAATTATCAATATATTAAATCATTTTTACAATATATGAAACCATTTTATCAATGTATGGAACCAAAGTAGCAATATATGAGTTGGTTATTACAATATATGATTCCAATAATTCAATATGTGGAACCAAAGTAACAACGTATGGAACAAGGTGTTCTTATATGAAACCAAATTATCAATATATTTATTCATTTTTACAATATATGAAACCATTTTATCAATGTATGGAACCAAAGTATCAATATATGAGTTGGTTATTACAATATATGATACAAATTATTCAATATATGGAACCAAAGTAACAATATATGGAACGAGGTGTCCTTATATGAAACCGAATTATCAATATATTAATTCATTTTTACAATATATGAAACCATTTTATCAATGTATGGAGCCGAAGTATCAATATATAAGTTGATTGTCACATTAAATGATACCAGATATTCAATATGCCCTTATATGAAACCGAATTATCATTATATTAAGTCATTTTTACAACATATGGAACCATTTTATTAATGTATCGAACCAAAGTAGCAGCTAGTATATAAGTTGATGTTACATTCTATGATAGCAATTGTCATTATATGGAACCAAAATAGCCTATTTTCAAGTCAACAAGTCAAAGACCGAGGTCACTGGGTTCTGTTATTACAATGCATAAACTTTTTCATGAAATCAATTATTATTTGACAAGTTATTTTTTAACTTTGTCAGTAGATTAACCTTGATGTGTCCTTCTGGCACTGCCTATTTTTGATCAAAGGTAAAGGTCGAGATGAACTTATTTTTTTAAATATGTTTTTGTTAATGGTCAGTACGACTCAATAGCTTAAATTATGACATACAACTACATATATAACGATAAGTTTTGCCTGCCCAGCCCATTTTAAGTGAATGTGACGTTAATTTCAAATATTTCCTTATAGTATGCAGTCAGTATGCAGTCAGTGAAGCACGATGTTCTTTAAACAAGGACTGTAATACCGGTGCAAGGATAGAATACAGCCTGTAAAAAAGTCCCGTCAGTATAATGACATTTTGGTTCAATATATTGCTACTTTGGTATCATATATTAAAGAATTGGTATCATATAATGTGAAAATCAACTTTTATATTGCTACTTCGGTTACATATATTGATAAACTGGTTTCATATATTGTAAAATTGATTTAATATATTGATAATTCGGTTTCATATAATAGCATCTGGTTCCATACATGACTTACTTGGATCCATATATTGAAGATCTGGTATCATATAAAATTACTACTTAAATGGTAAACGATATAATGTTGAAATATTCATAAAAGATGTACAGTATTTGTATGATACATGTATTACTAGTAATATCGACTTATAACAAATAAACCGGTTATTATATGAAACTACCGAATTCCCTCATTGATGCCTCAATGTTGTTGTTTTTTTGGACACGGGTTGATATGCACTTGTGTACAGTTAGACATCATCATAAATGTAACAATATAATGAAGTTAAGTATGTTATATATTGATCCATATATTCAAGTTATAAATATTTCGTAATCGTAGTGCGTTTAAAATAGTTTGATTTTTAAAATGCTAAATTTAATTAATTAATTAATCACTTGACATGTAGCAGTTTGCTTTAAAACGAGGGGAACAAGAAACAAATAACAAAAAAAAATAGAAAAAGAAATTGGGAAGAACAAAATATTTTCAAACGATCATACAAAAGACAGACAAAAGAAAAAAAAAAAAAAAAAAACAAAATAACATCATCACTATGTCATGTATGAGCGTCGGTTTCGAACCTGTGAGTGCATTTCATAAGAAGTTACAGTGACCCTGATTTACCAATTTAACCACTACGATGGTACACATTTTTATTAGAAATTATACTATAATAGTCGTTGACACTTTCAATCTCCGATAATATGCAGACTTACCCTTTAATGGACTTTCCCAAGTACCGTTAGAACCAAATTATCATCTCGGGATAATAGGTAAAACAGCTTTTTTGAAGAAGAGAATATAATACAAGATAAGAAGTACCATTTAAAACAACTTTATGGCAAATTTGGTAAAGTTGTTGGTATACGATACGACTTAAAATTTTACCACGAGTTCGAGCCTAAGAAATTGTCTAACATTTTTCTTTCCTTATTTTATCAATTTTATGATATATGCAAATGAATTGGGATATCAAGGTAGTTTTGTTACAATATCTAATAAATTTAATACACAGATTATAATATTTTTTACCTTGTGTACATTGAAAACAAAAGAAAAAGTGAAATGAGAAGTAAATAAAAAAAATAACACAACACAATAAAAATATTCTTCATACAGAAATATTTTTTGCGAATCGAACATGCCTTGCATTGATATTCAAATAGAAATTTAACTAACAGTCTTACCTACTGCGTTAAGTTGACAGTTGGCAAATTAGTAGTTTTTTTATTTATATAGTTGAAAGATGATAAATACAATATGATATCTGTTTTACACCGTTATAGTAGACTTGACCATTATGTTACTAAATAATTATAATTAAAAAATGTTGTTTGAAAATTTTCGTAATATTTGCTGGAAATCACTGACCAGCGAATTGCGTAGCTCATCTACACAAACGTTATCACAGATATATATCTGACTTATATTAAATTTGCCATATTTTCAGACTATTTGTTGCCATAGCAACCAGAATTTTCAACATAGGAAGAAAAGAAAAAGACGTGCATAATCTCCATACTGCCATCTATCCATATATCAAGTTTCATAAAAATATTTTCAGTACTTTTTGCGTTATCGCGGGATCCAGTTTTGTGGACGGTACAACCGGTTTCAAACATATTAGAACAGAAAAGGCCCTATATCGGAAATGATATATGGGGTTTATTTAAGAAATAAAAAATGGCCTTTCGGGGAAAATGCAAGCTTACGGACTGGT